AAAATGAAAAGAATGTCCCTTTCACCTTTGATTACTTCAGGGTAAAATATTCATTTGGAAGAACTAAGTTAACTTCCCTCAGGCACAGGAGAGAATTAGTATCTGTGAGGCTTTGATTTATTGCCCTGCTAAGCCCTGAGCTCTTGGGTAAAAGGCCAACACTGTTGACATATCAACTTCAGTACTTTGAGCAGAACCTGAATTTTAGGTGATTTAAGAAAGCCAAGCAAGCTGGCTTGCAAATGAGACTGCCACAGAGAGGCTTGTGAATCTCAGCAGGGCTTCCCTGACATGAAGAACAGCACTTAGGTTACCACACTTTATCAAAACAGTTTTTTGTAAACATGCCCTATGCTCTGGCAAAACTTCAAACTTCTATCTACAGGGCATGTAAATTGGTTTGGCTTCACTAACAAGCTGATTCTGAGCTGTGAGTCAAGCACCAAACCTGCATTTATTTTAAAAAAAAAAAGGTTTAGACTTAAATGTTGACCCCATTCAAGTCAAAGACAACACACTCTGTACCTTAAGTTATGGAAAATTAATTTAAAAATAAAGCCTGTTCGTTCTAGTGTGAATGCTAAAAAGACATCTTAGAAGAAAAGCAATTTCATGGTGAAAACAGAAAGGGTGAAAATAACCTGTCTCTTCTTATGGTAAAAGAAATCAAAAGGAAGTTAGAATGATTTCTATAACTTTTGAGCACTTTACTCAGAAAGCATATTTCTACTGGTGTCTTTATTTCTACATTTATTTCTACATAGCATCTTTAGAAGAAACCAAGCAAAATTACTGCGGATAATGCTTTAGCCCCCAAACATTTGAGCAAGAACATGTGACTATTGTATTCTAAAGAAAACCTCACCATAAACTTCATTATCAACTATAGCACCTACAATAATGTGTTCAATGAGTCATTGCAGATAAACTAAAGAAATTCTGAGAAAATTTAAAAAATCGTGGTGATTATGAGCGGTGAAGGCAAAATATATTCTTTGATTATTCAGAACCATTGGGTTCTACTTGGGAATACTAGCTTGGGAATTTAACCTGACAGGCAAATTTTCCCACATTTCCCATCCTCTACTGCCAAGCCCACGAGGCATCTCACATGCTTTGCTTCCAACACAAAATTTCAAAGTATGAACTGTACGCTGAAGTCTTCTTGGTAATGTTTAGGAGTATTAAGATCTTTAGGAGTGTTTATTTGCTATTTCATGGATATTTCAATAGGAAGAATATGTCTGTGACTGCAGTCTGGATGAAGCCTTTTATTCAGACCTCCTTACCTACCAGGGAAAGATAAAAAGACACTGGGTAGTGACAGCAGCTGTATTGGGCATAGCTCCCACAGGGGAAATTACCCTTTAATAGTGTTAAGCTCGATGGAGTGTGAATGGTTATGTGGTACTTGAAGTGAATGAACCAATTCATCTTTCAGATTAGGACCACATGCCTGCAAGTGATAAGTGCTTTGTCTCAAAAGGAAAAAAAAAAAAGAACACAACAACATGAAAATATTTTTCTGTCACATTTACTACCACCTGATGTTAAACTAACTTCTAGAAAGGGCACAGTAGAATGAGTGAAATAAACTGATGAGGAAAATTTCTTTGCTTCTTTCCAGCCAAGCTGTATCTTAAATATTAACATTATTCATCACATAAAAAGGCTAATTAATATCTAGAGAGGGAACTAATTTTGTTATCTGGAATGCCAGAAGATACAAAATAAATTGCCTGTGCCCAACTTGAAATCATTAGATATTTCACCTGAATTTTGTTTTGAACAAATAACAAACCCACATTCCTTTCATTTGTTACTTTTCCAGCTGAGATACAGTGAAGTTCTGACACAGTTCTGACAAATTTGTTGCATTCTAGCTAAAAGTAAGGGTATGTTCTTATTCCTTCAACACCCAGTACACTAGGCACTACTAGAGAATCTCAGTGTTGAGGATGTTAAATGTCTTTAAGCTGTTCCTTCTTAACCTTTCCTTGAACTCACCTCAAATGCAGGCTTAAGTCGCAAAAAGAAAAAAAATTAAAAGCCAACCACATACTTGCAAAAGCTCTGTAAGGGCAGAAGTGACAAAAAAAGAAAGACAATCACTCCATCTTCACATTACAGAAACACATCCCAGACACATCTCCCTCCCATGATTCACAGGACAAACTGCAAATGACTTCTTAACCTGTGGGTCTAGAGGATCATTTCTATTTTATATTCTATTTTGGTATCCTCAGGGAACATTCAGAGCAAACAGCTGTTGGGCTGGGGAAGGAACCTGACTCCTGTATCCCTGTTTATCCTCAGTACTGACCCCCATTCCCCAGGGGTCCCTCTGAGGCTGACAGTCCTTCCCCTTCCTCACCTTCCCTTTCCTTCTAAGGATATAATTATTTGTAAGTCAATCAGGAATTTCAGTCCCTTGTCAACTGCACTACTGGCTGCTGCCTTCTGCTTTGTAAACATTCTTCTTGGCTGAGCATCAGCTCAAGTGTGAAATAGTCTTTTACCCACCAGGTTTGTGTTTGGCAAAGGCCTCAGCAAGACTCTTAGGCCATGTGAAGCTGAATCCCTTTCCACTCAGAAAATTAACACTCTTCTTTGAACCAGTCCCATTTCTTTTTTCCTAAATTCATTTTAAATTCTCAGCTGTCAGATGTGTCTCCCTATGTGGCCACATAAATGTTTGTGCCAGAACAACATGCACCAGAGGGATGGGGAAACATTGAAGGAAAAGGACTGCACTTCTCAGTGATGGTTCACTGCAATTTGAAAGATATGTGAAGCAATTCCTTACCTTCTTCTGACACACACAGACCTTAAATATATTGACTTAATAACGTCCTCATCACATAAAGTTTACTTTCAATACAAGGACAAACGAATGTAAAAAATGCCATCTCAAATAATCTTTGCCAGTCAGAGTTATATTTCAGTGGGACTTCAGGGATTCACTCTCTTCTAAAATCACTGCTTCTCCCTTAGAAGCTCCAACATGAGTTAAAGCAGAGGGAGAGTGATTAACACAGCAATTTCAGGAAGTTTTGCTTTGATTGTTTGAAGAAAAGTTCATTCACAACTCCTTGGTAAGAACTCTCCTCTTTGGGGATTGTCAGTGGCCTCAGTTACTTTGTTCTAACAGTGTGAGCAGCAGGTAAAACAACTAAGAATAAAAAATGGGACAGAGTCAGCCATCCCCTTTGTGGCTTTCCCTTTCAATTCAGACACTAAACTAAAATTTTCCCCTGATAATATTTATTTCTCTTTGTCTAGTATCACCATACACCACTTTTCTTTCTCCAATTCATTGTCAGTTGCTTTAGATAACATGTGAAATCTTCACCTCTTCCAGCCCTTTCAGTTTTTCAGGTCTTTCCTACTGGCATGCAAAATAAATTAACATTAATGTGACTTCACCAAATGTGTATAAAACATTCTAGTAGAAAGTTGTCCAAATACCATGCACTGGTTTTAAGTTTAGAAAATGTCTCATGTAAAGAAATATTTCAGACATTGGCAACCTTGGCAGGATTACACGATACCTATGATAGCTCTTTAGGCAATAAGCAAGTGCAAAACAATGGGAAATGCACACTTGAACCAAAGCCTGCACTTTACTTTTGATTACTAAGAACTAGCAGTGAATGGTATGAACTGGGTAAGAGTCCACAGTGAATTACCCTAAGGGTTCAAGCACTAAGAGGGAAGAAATTCAGAATATACTCGAGATGATATTTGTACAGTTTTATGCCTTTCCTTGCTAGTCCCTGGGATAACAGAACTGTCTCAATCTGCAAGCATTCCCTGAAAAGAGCAGAAATGTTTGCTGAAAGCTTTCCCTAAGTAATGGTGATGGTCACCACTGAGGTCTTTCTCAGTTCTGTGTACACAGCATAAAGCACATTTCAACTACAGCAGTGCTATTCGAGTATTTTATCATTAAAGTCCAGCACATGAAAAATAAAGTAAAACAATATGAAATTTATGGGGCATTGCTTCCTAAACTATGCAAATACACACCAATAATAACCCACTATCTTTAGATCCAAATTCCTCAATCATCCTTATGGAACAATTCAAAGCAGTCGCTCAAAGTAAATAGCTACAGAAAATATGAAAACATAAGCAGAAAGCAAAGCTTATTTATATTATATGTTTTTAAGTAAAATAAAAAATTATTGAATATGTAAACCATAATGAATTCACTCTGCACACATCTTGTCCTCTGCACAAAGCAAAACAGTTTGTAAATCATTTGCATGGTAAAGTATTATATATGCACACAAACAAAACATTATGACTATGTGACATAAACCCACAAACACAAAAAACTGAAGGTTGAATCCATTAAATGAATTCTCCTTGGGAAACACTGAAACACAGATTTACAACTACAACACAGTAAAGACAATTTCTTAACAGAAATCCAGGGTATTTGTAGAACAAACTACATTTTTGACAAGACAAGGCCAACAGCATTTAAGGGACATGGGTCACACTTAGAAATTCAAAACGTACAGGTGTTCCCAAGAGCAATTGCAACCCTGAATAAGTAACAAATAATCTGACTTACTAGCCCAGGTGTAACCAGAATCAGAAAGAGGAGGAAGATTTCCTCCTCCTCATTTAAAATGTTTCAGATGTTTTTCAGGCAACACAATACACATAACTGAGGTATTTAGTCACTTGCCAGAGTTTGCAATGAATAAATTATGCCCAGTTCAGACTGAAATGCATTTGTTTAAACTCATTCTTTATTAAAAAATTAACTGCATTTGCAAAGTTTTTAAATAATAAAAATGATAAATAACACAACATGGACTGATTTTCTACTAGCCTACAAACTGAATACCAAATGAGTACAGAAGGCTATCTAAAGATGGTGGTGGTGTTCTCTAGTGACAATTTCATTTCTTACATTATTCTTTAGAAATCTATTTAACAAAATATACCAAATCCTGGGAGGTTCACAAAACCTGCCTTAGCAGTACTGAAATATAGGTACTATGTGACTCTATGATTCTACTATTAGCCAATATCTAATTTAGCCCTAATGGACACAAACAAACCAACCAAAAAAGCTTCCAAGGAAAAAGTATGAGAATTTCAGAGCAGAATTACACAATTGATCACAATCTTACATTCCAGTAAATTATCTGAAGAATGCTTCAATTAGGAGCTGAGTGGCTTTTGTAGCTTGGAATAGCAACAAAAAGAATGAGAGCAGGAAAGAAAAAGACATTAAAAACCAACTTGAGAGAGTGAATAGACAGCACCATTGAAATTTTTCACTTCAAACTTCATTTGCCAAACAAAACTGAGTAATTTTAATTTTATCACAGCAACCTACCTTATAGTAAAAACATTACACAGAAAATAATAACCTCCTTCAGATTATCACTAATAGTTCCTCCTCAGTTTGACCAAAGGAACAGTCAATAATTGTTTTACTAGAGTTTCATTAAAGCTAAACTAATTTACTTTGCCTTATTTTCTTTTCCCATCTGGCTCAATGAGAGGATTGACCAGCACATGGAATAACTACTTTGGAATATAAAGAAAAGTCAGAAGAAATATAAAGAAAAGTCACAGTTAGAAAAGCAGTATTCCATACATTATAGTAAGTGATCATTTATAATTAAGACAATCTTATTTTTTATAAATTGGAATTCTCATTGCATTCACCTAAGAGTTAGTAATCAAGTAAAGGGCTATGTGTGCTCTTCCCAACTTTAGCATTCCCCAGAAAGAAACCAGGAATCAAAATACTCCTCTGTTGTTATATTCAGTGGTCTCAGGCTTCTTGTGGTGAAATATTTTACTTCCTACATACTTGGTTTTCCTCCTATTTTGACTTCCTTATAAGCTAACTTAATTTAAACAAACTTTCCCAATGATAGTGTACTTTTCCTACACAGCTATACACATTGAGCTTTCAAAGACAACAAGGCAGTTACCCTGAACAAATTGGTTTTGTGTCTGAAAACATAATTTGTTTTTGCTTTTCAATGTCAATATTAAAGTCAGGGTTCTTCTGTTTCAGTGCCTGAGTTCCTCCATCTGTAAAACATAAGGTGTCTCTTCTGTAAAATGCTTCAAGACCTACTGCTGAAAATATTATATGACAACTAGATACTAATAATACACTAGAGCAAATCCCACTGATTTCTTACAAAAGAAATCCCAAATTTATTTGGGGGTTACCTATTGAAATACAGCTGGGCCAAGAATCAAAGTTATAAACTAGGTAACAGGTTTATCTCATGAGATTGTAGATGAGGTCCTTCTTGTACAGTCTTATTAGTATTTCTGGTCTACTAATGCATAGTATGTCACAGTATTACCATGGATCAACAAATTTAGGAAAGCAAAGGAAGTCAAACCCTTAGTAGAAAAGATGAACAAAAATCCAGGTATCACAACATTGGCTCTTCTGGCTGCTTTTGTTGACTTTGTATGATTTTCACTCTAGAGTCAAAACTTTATTAAATTATCCCTTCCTATTTGTTTTTTTTTAATTATCCTTAGAAAGCGTAAACAAATGAGGAAATGAATTATCCCTTCCTATTTGTTTTTTTTAATTATCCTTAGAAAGTGTAAACAAATGAGGAAAAGAAGAGAAATGTGCTGATAGAGTCCTGTATTTTTCACCCAACATACTGCAGCTTGCACACTTCAGATCTAGCTTTTTTGCTATGCTTACTGTTCACAAAAGGCATTGGAGCTTCCTTTATTCCAGGCAAAGTCACACATGGCATATGAGCACTGGCAGGGACTTCGAGTGACAGAACAAAACCTCTGAGATTTCCTTAGAAAATGACAGTCTGCATTTAAAACAAAACACAACCAAAAAGCAAATGTGGAGAGAGAAGTTCCTTTGCTGATATATCCTCCTGTTTCCCCCAGCTGAGCTTAGGGGCTCCACAAACTGGGAATGGTGACTGCTCTATGGTTCTATTCCATTCCTCCAGCTGCTTGTGCTCTTCATAATTACACTAACATGAAGTAGGAGGTACAATCTTAGCTATATTTCTGTTTCTTTAGAGAAAAACTTTAAACTGGAATATTCAAACCAGTCACGAAATGCTTTTTGACACAAATCCCACTAACTGTTCCTTATATTAAAACCAAAATGAAATAAAAGACCACTCTTCATAGAAAACAGCTTCTTTGCCTGTACTTTTCAACTTACTGTCAGTGATATCGTTTGGTTATAATTTACATTCCTTAGCAGATGTTATTGCAATGAAACAGAAAACACAGGTATTTGTAATACCTAATCATAGTTAAGGTATTGCAATTTTAAAAATGTCAGGGTCTAGAACAGACTTGCTTCTTCTCTTGCTCAGGGTGGGTTTTGACTTCTGTCTTCTGTTTTAGGATGTAAGTTTTTCCATTTCACCAAATAAAATGCTTGTTGCATTTTTCATAAAATAATTCAAATAAAGTGGGGAAATCGACGTAAGTTAAAAAAAAGAAGAACAGTTATTTAATAATTTTCAACACTCCTGGAAATCACCTATTTTCTTCTTAAAACTATTTATCCTCTGAGGAAAATAAATTCAATGTATGTCCTTAAAATATTTTAGGTTTTGATGAAACTCATACTTTTGACTGCAAAAATATTTCAGCCACTTTTTGTGAACACAGCTAGTGCTAGAAATATACCTTCCACATATTATATCACTTTATGTCTACGACAAAACCTGAACCAATAGCTCCACAGAACCCTTTTAGGAGGTTTGTCTGAAGCTATTTTAAACATGAAAGAATAAATGCAAGAAAGGGACAAAAAGTAGCAATAATTTTAACATGTATGGTAAGGTAGTTAGAATAAGAGCATCTCTGGATTATGCAACATCTGTGGTTAATGCAAATACAGTACTAAAAATACAGATACACATTTCTACTAATGGTGAGACATTACATAATATACCCATGTAAGAAGAAATGCCACTTATTTCCTCAGCAGGTGGAAGCAGCAATTATTTCACAATCATCATCTCCTTTGCTTCCTACTGCTATTGTTGCACTCAATAATGAGAATTCTCTGCTGGCACATTCACATGGCTCAGATTCTGGATGCAGTGAGTGCTGTGAATCCAGTTTCACACCAGCAGTGCTGATGAAGGTGCTTTGGCCTCTTTTATTTTTCTTAGACATTAACCCAAACACATACAATAGAGAAACATTTCTGTGTTCAGCAATGCTACAGCTGGGCCTGGAGGTTCTCAGCTCCTCTTCTTTTTAGCACCTTCTAAGACTTTTTGGTTTCCAAAAACACAGAAATATTTTCACAGTCTGTCAGGATTATATTCTATATTGGAACTATTGTGCTGCCCTTGCAGTACATTTTTTTATAGTTTCTCTATTTAGATATGTATTTTTAAGACATAGCTGCTAGGTAAGGAGTCATCATTTTTAGATGAAGAATTACTTTTTGCCTTGTGGAACAACCTCAGTAGGCAGTCCAGGCACACACACATGGACAGCTAAAGGACAGGAAAGTGGAAAACACTGCTAGAGATTGCATGTGCTTCCAGAGTGAAGAGAGAGCTGGGTAGAGTTTCTTAGGATGACATGCTGCACTGAGCTGCTACGTTCAACCACATATGCCTAAATCTTCTCTTTTTGATGTGGCTTTCAGTTTTCCCCTAACTGGAACACAGCTTAGAGATATTTGCCACTCTCCTGTCATGTTAGCAATGAAAATTTTCAAGGTTTATCCCCCTCATGTTTCTTTGATAAATCCTTTGCTAAGCACACTGAGTATTTCAGTTTAATGGAAGTGTGAGCAAAAGCTCATGGCTGGGAAGTGAATGAGTGAAAGTGTTTGGAAATGGTATGTGCAGTAGCTGATCAGAGACAAAGCTAACCAAAGTAACATTGGTTGAAATCTGTCACAAAATTCTGTTTTAACTGAGACAAAAGTATTCAGAAGGAAGTGATGTGCTCCTTGTCTGCTCTGCCTCCCACTGCAGGTTCCTATCACTTGGTGGTGCCTGTCCAGTCCACACAGGAAAATGTGTGCCTGCCTCCTGCAAAGAGGTCCACGGTGTGTGTTTGACAGGTGGCTGGATGTCCTCATGCTTCCCCAGCCTGAGAGCTGGGACAGGGTCACCCAAGGTGAGAGCTCTCAGGGCAGAGCCAGGAGCTAACACTGCCCAGGGAGGAACATTGATCCTGACCTTCCAGATATGCTGCAAACCTGCTTCCCACTCCTTTCTGCTCAGGGACACAAGCTGTACATCCAGTGCAGTTAAGCCTATTGTTTTTACTGGAGCTTTTTTCAGAAATAAATTAAACTCTTGCTTGTACCAAGGGATGCCCTGAGAATGGGCTCAATTTAGAGAGAAGCAAATATTGTCTGATGTGGATGACTTCAAATGTAAGAAACAGTGATAGTCACTGAATGGCAGTCCATGGCATTAAACTAACCCCCTCTGTGAGCAGCATGTCTTTTCAGGATTAACAATTTATGAAGTTAATGCACATCTAAGTATGCAGCTGTCCTTTTCTATTTTTAATAACCAAAGAGAAAATGTCACCAAGTAAAGGGGGAAAAAAGCTGTTTCTCAGTTGGGACTCTACAGAAAACAGTGGCAGAGTTATTCTCTGTGCTGTAAAATGGTACTAACGAGTTTTGTCATGGGGCTTAAAAATACTAGACAGACCAAAAAATTTAAACTCTCTTCATTTTGCTTTCATGTTCTTATTAAACTGTTCTTCGAAAGAACTTATTTTAACTCTGATTGTTAAATGAATACTACCTCCTGTGTAGCTAGGTTTAAAAAGCATTAAACAAAACTACTCAACATATTTCAGGATTTAGTTAAATTTTCTTACCGTTTTACACAAGAATTAATATAAATAATCCCTTATTTTTCTGGGCATTTCAGTATGAAGAATCCCCAAGTGCTTTGCAAAACTATATACATGAAAGGAAAACTTTCAGCATTTAAGTGCAGCAGTTTTCTGAGTGTGCTTATATGTAAACATGTGGATT